GAAATCAAAATCCAGTGTTTTTCTGAGCCATAGTCTAAACTCCTAGTATCCCCCTTACAATTTCCTATAATCGTCCCCTATATAATCCCCTAGATAACCCCCTTTAAGGAGTTTAGACTATAGTACATATAGTATGGTAGTTTCCCTAAATCAGGGGACCCCAATATAGACCCCAATATACTATAGTCCTTGTTATAGGAACCCCCAAAAAGAGATCCCCTAGTTTTAGGAAACCCTCATCCCTGTAATCCCCTATATAAAAACAGTTTCCGTTTCATTTTCCATGTTCTTCTCCCTTTGATTCTCCATTATTGGGGGTAATATCCCCAAACTCCCTAAACCCTAAACCCTAAACCCTAAATATGGGGAAAGTCCCAAACCATCACCACCTTCGAGGTCAGAGGGAGACACTGAAGCTGGCGAAGGCGCTGCCTGGCAGTGTTTGACCATTCCCCAGCTACATTTTGGGTACTACCCCCACCCAGTAACAGTCTATATTAGGGGTCCTATTAAGGGCTAGATATATAACCATGTTATGATTAATGGGTTTAGGGTTGGGGTTTAGGGTTTAGGGGCTACATTGATACGCTCCCAGGTGCTCATAAACATATTCCGATCTGTCTGGAAAGGTAGGCACTTCTCAATTTTGGACCCTATTGCGTAAACGCAATCAAAACTGTTCCACAAGCTCAGCAACCATTGAAAAGTTTGCACAATGTGAGACCTCGGCTTTCTCTTCGGCAGTATCCCCAGCTTTTGCCTTTTTGGCTGTTGCCTCTGAGGTGTCCAGGGATCAGGTTCGGCTCCCACGCTATCACATCTAGTTTCTCTATAGGGATAGTATGCCTGTGTCACCCCGAGATATTCCTTATTATGACATAGTATTTTTTCTCTTTGCGTTCTTCCTACATAACCTTTATATATATACATACATACACCCTATTATACTGCACTAGCTTCCATTTTCTTTTCCAGTACTACTCTAAACCCTAAACCCTAACACCTAAACCCTTTCCCTTTTAATCTTGATAAGGTCAAGCCAGGCCCTGGCGGTTTAAGGTGTAGGGTTCAGGGTTCATTAGTGGCTTCGATCTGATTTTCTATTTGATTCTCCATTATCATGGGTGACATCCCTGTATACCGCTATACATCGTAGCTTGCATCTCATGTTTTTCTCGATGTTTCATGTGATGTTCCATTTGATCCTTCAGTATTGGGGTCAAGGGCCTATGTAAAGGATTACAACAGTACCCCCCCAAAGGTACCCCCCCAGGGTTTTATGGAGCTAATAAGGATTTTATAGGGCTTAATAAGGCCTACTAGGGTTCTAAATCTCGGGGGGTTACCTTTGGGGGGGGGCACTATTGTAATCCCTTACTATGCAAGCCCTATGTACCCAATAATGAGACAAAAAGCCTCCTTAGGCTTCTTGTCTTTCTCTTTCTCCTTGGCTTTGATCTTGGCTTTGTCCTTCTTCAATGAGGTCAGCTAATCGTGGAGGCCCTTGCTTGCTGGCCCGGATCCCTAAACCCTACATATATCCCTAAATACTGCAGCTTCCATTTCATTTTCCATTTGATTTGTGGCATTAATGCAGAGGCAGCTTAGGCAGGTTGGTCCTCTTTTTTCTCCTTCACCTTCTCTTTTGAAGCATCCCTGCAGCAGCTGAGGTGCTAAAGTTTTTCTGATACAAAGTCCAAGGGTGCCATGCCTCTTTCGCTTTTCCGCTGGCTTCTCGGAAACCTTCATGGGCAAAGCTCAAACATCATGCCAGCAGCATTGACAGACTACACTACGGTGTGCGCACCGGTATTGAGCATACGGGCACACACATCTTGTTGGAATGCTATTGTCACAGGCTGCGGTTCCCGCAAGCTTTTTCGAGCATAGCCCCTGCAGACTATCAAAGCATCAGACATACCCTCTACCGAGCTCTGCTTAGCTCTGCCTAAGCAGCCCCCATGACACAATGACGACCGCCTTGAAAATCCGGCATGACAAAATAAAGACTAGCCACATACAAGTGAAGGTGCGATCGTCGTCATCACCACCATTGTTGACGTCACCATCATCAGAAGCAGCAGCAACAGCAACCATCATATCAAAGACAGGCTGCCCCCGAGAAGACCCTGCCGTTGCAGCAGGTTGAGCATCACAAGGTCCAGAATCCGAAGTTCCATGCCAGGCCTTGCGCTTTCGCTCAGGCTCGGAGGACCTGAGCAGGCACTTTGTATGGGCGGCAAATCCAAATAAGCTATAGTCTAAACTCCTAGTATCCCCCTTAATATCCCCTATAGTAGTCCCCTATATAATCCTTATATAACCTCCTTTAAGGAGTTTAGACCATAGCTCAAATGAGTTGTAGGAATTGATCAACAGTAATGGTAGGATCATGTCAGAGGCTTGAGCTTCTCTGGCGATATCACAGAAATCCTAGCTGCTGAAAGTTTCCAAAGATGATCGGAGGTAGTCACCGGACCAGGTCCCAAAAGATTCATTTGATAGCTTCCTGCATCATGCACGTAAAGCCACCCATGCAGAAATGTTCAGCAAGTGTTCTGACTCATGGCTCAGAAAAAGGAGGCCTGGTAGAGTAGAGATGTAGTTAGAACGCCTGAGATTCTGACTCGGAGCGCCGCCGGCCGCGACTTCGGCTGCGCCTGGGCAACGAGCAAACCATTTGGCAACATCTAGTGGCAGCCATTCTTCCAGCCACTGCAAAGCAAAGCTTAGTGGGTTATCGCAAAGGATGATTCCAAGAAAAAACGGTATAAATAATAAAGGGAGATCATTTGCTGATTCTGTACATAGCTTCATACTGAGACGCAAGCAACGGGCACTTTTTTCACCCAGACTCTGGCTGTCACAAGACTGCCATCTTGCTACTCTACGACTCCAGGAAATTCTTCTGCACGCGATTCATGTTGGGCGGGGTGGGCGCATCTGGCTTCCCAAAACCTGGAACAACACAGGGCAGGTCCGGTGACCGCCAAGCAACACCTCACAGTCCACTCACAAACCTCACGCCTGAGATGCCCACAAGCTAACCTTGTAACAACCTGTCCCTTGATGCCATGACTGAAATGACTGAAATGAAACATGCGCAAACATGCCCCGTGCACGGCCTAGGATTGGTTCGAAGGGATCTGACCCAGAGCCCCCAAAGTTCATGCTATCCTCCACCTGCAGGGAGTCTCAAGGCTGAGGCTTTCCTGTCCTGTTCAGGAACACATTGCATAACGAACATTTGTTCTCTACAAAACCTTGTGATTGAACCCAACTCCCACCTCATCTACGGCACCTGCGCAGAGCTTGAAAAAAGAAAGATACTGCAGGTAGCATTGCACGACTGAGATAATTCCCTACATGCTACCTGGAAAGTCGACAGTTGGATTCGTGGAATCCGATAGTCGGGCCTGAAGGTTGGAGGGGTTTATTACAATTACTATTATTCCTATTATTATTCTTATTGGTATTATTACTACTAGTCCTAATATTGTGATTTTTATTACTATTGTTATCACCGTTATTACTATTAGTATTACATTTTGTGGCTTGCTGCATGTGCTGTATTGCATGCTGCGCATCACCAACCCGCCAGCCCGCAGCATCCGAGACAGAAAGCCACAAACACTCAGAAACATTGTAATAATAGTACTAATACTAAGAAGATAACAAGAATCACAATAATAATAGTTCATGAATAATAACAGTGCTCTTCCAGGAATCCCAATGCCGAGCCTGACTCAGTGATTTCGCTCTCCGGGCAGCTGACAGGTTGCAGCCGTCCCCGCCGAAGCAGCGCCCCCTTCAGGGCCTTGTACCGCTCAGGAGACCTGGGCTTCGTATACAGGGGTTATATAGGGCTGCTGGAAAAGAAAACGGAAACTACTATGGCAATATGTTCAGGATTCCTCAAATGGCTATACAGGTCCAGCAAAGGCACTTGCTGAAACGGCTATCTGGAAATCAAATGAGGCCGCCACTTCTTCGAAGCATCCTGATCATGGAACTGATGGTAGAGCTCCGCCTGGTAGAATGGGAATTTCGCGGAGTCGTAAATCCTCGGAGTAGCATAGGTCACTGGCTATGTGTACGCAGCCTGGGCTTGTGAAGCCAGGGCACCACACGACATCAGTGCCGGCCTGGGAATTTGACTGACGGAAGTGCTACACGCTTCAAAATGAGAAAAAGGAATGTGACAATGTCCACATGCTGCTCAACCTGTTTATTGGAAGCCATACCCACCAGCTCTCACTACTAGGGGTTTCCCAAAATTAGGGGCACCTCGTAGGGGGTCCTTATAATATCTTCTAGCAAGGCTCATGTAACATTTGTGGGGTCAGTTGGGTACCCCTATTTATGGAAACTACCACTAATGGCTAAGGTATGCTGAGAGAGGGACAGTGCTTGGGTCACTGCCTTTGCCAACCGCCAGCTTTAGGCGGCCACCGTTTGCATCGAGAATGTCCTGAACACAGGCACTGCAAGCTACCAAGACCTTAAACTACACAAAGGGCTGCGACAAGTGGAGGCTAGAAATTTCCATTCAGAGTCAAGAACTTCAAAAGGGCATATGTGAAAAGAATTCGGGTCCTTAAAGTATGGCGATTCTGAGCCACCAGGGAGGCCCAGTATGGCCCGGAATTCCGGGCCACGTCCACCGCCCTGGTCGCCATCTCCCTGTTCCCCCCGGCGGTCGCTATCGCTCTCTGCGGCAGGCACGGGCACCTTGAAAAACCCAGGGGCTGAGCGAATCCCGTGCAGTTTTCCAAAATTAGGAGTACCTTTCTGGGGGTCCCACAATAATGATTAGAATATTTTGGGATCTATATTGGGGTCCCCCAATTTGGGGAAACTACCATATGTTGAATTACAACACCAAGAAAGGCATGGCATACGGCAGCTTTACCACGATCATGAACTCTGGTACCAAGGTACTGCATCGAGAAAGGCTTTGGCAAAGGTACCAATCTTATCGGCAGGTATGCTGGCAACCTCCACAGCCTCTGCATGTCCCAGTATAGAATAGTCACGCCGGGGAAATTCCAAGTTGTGATAACAAACCAGCTGATTGTTGACAGGCTGACCGCCAGCATAGCCGCTGATGGAAGTGACAGCAGTGCCGGAGCGGCCCAAGACTTTGGTTTCTAAGGCTGTAAAGTCACTTTGGACACGCCAAAAGGAGCCCTGTCCGAAGTACATGTCAATGGCGGGCTCACCGGTGGCCGCTTGCGCCGAGCCCCCAGTGACCGCGGTAGCCAAGAGCTGCGCCAAGGCAATCCTTCGCGGAGCCTCAACCTGTAGAAAGGCTTTCGGAGCGGACCGTCCAGCCAGCAAACAGCAGGCGTAACAGCAGGCAATTGCAAGCGCGCCATGCGTGCTTCGCCTCGCTCGCCGGGAGGCTACGGGAAGCCGCTTTGCGGCCATGCTTTACACAAGCTAACGCAGTTGCCAATTGGGAATATTCTTGAAATTTATTAAAGGCTCACTTAAGGCTCATGAGTCTGTCTGTTTCACGTGACTTCTAGTTCTGGCTGCAGAGCTTCGTAAGCCATGGATGGAGCGACGTGAGAATCGTGTCGCATCATGCAGCATGCAGGCTTCCTGGTTCCTAGCGCTGCATCCTGGAAGGCGCACCGTCCCCGGCTCTTGCGTCGGGACGCCCGTTTGTCACCTGTGCTGCAGTTTGAGGTTTCTTCTGTTCATATCAGCAGGCGTAGAAATTACTTTTCCAGCACATACGGAAAGCAAGCCCCAAGCGGTCTCGGTCGCGATCTCGCTTGTCTTTGCTACGACTTCCTCAGCGAACGAACGGTCAAACAGCAAGCCACAACTCCTTCTTGTCGGCCATTGGGCACCTGGCTTCTGCCAGACCGCCTCTTCCGGCTTTCGCTCCTCTTCTGCTTCTTGTCCTCCTTAGTCTCTTTGGCTTCTTTGGCCTCTTTGGCTTTAGCCTCCTTCGCTTCTTTCATCTCGCTTGCTTTGCCTTTGACAGATATGCATCGCTCAACCTCAAAAATCCTAATCCTTTCAAAAACTGCCTGGAGCTTCTTTGCTGTTCTCCTCCTCCTGGACCTGCATGGGATGCAACGGTGAACCGCTGCGCCCATAGAGCACCGCATCCCAGAACCATCCTTCTGGCATCCGGCCTTTGCTCGGGGCTCAGTTGCCACCCTGAGCAAGGCAGCATATGATGCATGCAGGAAAGAGGACGTCGCTAATCTCAGGCACCAATTCTCAGGCAGAAGCTCTTCAGAAGGTTTGGAGGCCTGTCCAAGTGGCCAGATTGACAACTCGTGCACAACCTCTGTTTCAGCATGAATGCCTCCTCCGTCTCAACGGCTGCCTCCTGCACCAGTTCACTGCAGCAGTTCACTGCAGCAGCGAACCGGAAGGGCACGAGCGAGCTATCATTTTAGAATGCATGGCACAAGCCCGTTAGGCTACATCATCAAGTAGCCAAGCCGGGCATCCAACAGTTTTGGCTCTGCTGCAATGCTGAGGCTCGTAGGGGCACAAGGCGTACCCCGCAACCCAATCCCAACAATCACGACGGCCTTCTCATTTGGGGAAGCACTGGCTTTCTCCGCTTCTTTCTCATTGGTGCCCTCCTGCAGCAATAGTGACAGTCAGGTATCAAGCAGGATTGATGCCTGCTACCTTGTCAAATGGACATCCTGGCCATCTGCAGCTCAAAATCTGCTGCACATCTGAAAGCAACTTCTCTAGGATGAATCTCTCTTCCTCACCGCCTGAAAGGTTTCCCTTTGCTTTGACTAGCACAAGAGTGAATCTGTAGTACGGTCCCAAGAAGCCAACACACAAACAAGAAGTATGATAATCACAATGATGATGAGCACAGCATGCGCAATAAGGAGTATAGAATTCAATGACAGGAAGTACAACAACAATAAGGAACAGACATGCCTGTAACATTCGTAAATATTCGTAACCACCGTAACACTAATGGCAGTAACCAGGGGCCTCTGGCTTCGCTCGAGAGCCTCAGACAGGCTGAGCGTCATGGACTTCGGAAGATGTAAGCATTTCAAAGATGTACACGGGTAACTCCCGCATGGGGGGCAAACATATGGACCCTGCCGAGATAGTCTGGGGCCCCTTCCTGGGGGACCCACTACTCTATTGGGGTAAATAGAAGGCCCCCCTTATCTGTAGGAAACTGCCAACGTACCAACTACAGCTCACAAAGCCCACATGGCAGCTAGGCTCGGCTCCCTCGGTCTGGGAGGTTTTGAGGCCACCGGCCTCCTGCGGCATGAGAAATTACACAATCTCAAAACTTAGGAAAAACTTAATATTTGAGGGCGGGGGGACGGGACTGCGATGTCAAATCACGTCTCTGTTCAAGCTGGATTCCAGAGAGATGACGTAAGCAGTGTAGTAACCACTTGATCACCGGTTTAGGGCTTTAGAAACTTGATGCCAGACTGAACATGTCATGGGTGTAGAGTGGGGCGCTGTCCTGGGCTATTTCATCTGCTTTCGACACGAGATCCAAGAAGTAGATCCGTTCCTCAGCTGCGCATGCCGTGAACAGGATACAGCAACATGATCCTGGCACTGGTACCACTCTGCTCTGGATGGAGTACTTAGGCAATCTGAGAGTTCTTTCCACGTCTGCCAAAATGCTCGAGTCTCGGCCCAAGGCGTAAAAGCTACAACAAACCGGACTTTTGGGAAACGCGCCTGGAACTGCGCGAATACATACAAACAGGACACACAGGGAGTGTGACAGGAGAACAGGCGAACTGTGCCTGTCGCATTTGAAGAAACACCTTGCTCAACAAGCCTCTGAAGGACTTTGAGCAAAGCTCTTCTTTCTGAGTGCTTCGATCTGTCAAAAGAGGAGAAAATGGGCTTCAAGAGATCCGAACCCTCAGGCCAGCGGTGCTGACCTTGCGCGACAATTTCGCCGTTGCTCCGAGAGTGCTTTGACCCGGTCCCGTTGTCTGGCTCAAAGACCAGATACGAAACCCATGACAACAGGTGCCGGGCAGAGGTCCGCAGCGGCAGCTCATCCGGAAAGATGCGGGCCAGAGCCGATGCAATGGCCGCTTTGGCCACAGACAGCCACTCCTCACCTTCCGCGTCTGCGATCCCCAACTCTGACAATGCCTCTCTGGTGAAGTAGACCCCTAAACCATGTTGAGCTGCAAGCTTGGAGCTAGGATGGTCAGAAGCCACCGATAGCTGCAGTTGTTGAACAGTAGGTCTGCAAACAACCTCGCGGAAGGAATCCTCCAGCTCCTGGGTCATTCGACCAGCCGCGTGCAGAGCATCAATTGCCAGCACAATGTCCACACCACGGGTGGTCCCAAGCTTGATCGCAACTTCTGAGCTAACGCTTGCTTGCATTTCTGTCAGCAGCAACAGCGCACGCTCCCTGATCTCGTTGTACAGGGCATCCAGGTGGGGAACAATAGACGGAGAGCACCGGGCTTCCAAAGCTGCCACTGCGCTGCAAAGGCCTTGCACTGAGGGCTGGCATCCCTGAGATCGTGACACTGATAAGAGCATAAGGGCATCCTGCCAGCAACCCGTCTCGCACAGCCCCAAAGCGGCATTAAAGCCCACCTCGTCCAACTTCTCATTCTCTCGCTCCAGCAGTTGCTTCACGTATTCCAAGCCCAGTTTCCACGAAAGGCTTCTTTGAAAGGAAGCGATCACTCCAATATGACAGTGAAGGTCAGGGTCCAACTGCCGTTCGTGCATGCTGTCCAGTAGCGATAAGGCCCGCTGCCAGTCCCCCCCCTTAGCACATGCAGAAATCGCCGCACCTAGGCTGCGCACATCTGGGCCCGTCATTTCCTGAAAGAGCGACAGGACGTGCTGCCACTTGCCTGCTCGTTCCAAAGCCTGAAGAGCCGTATTGAAGCTGATGAGGTTCGCTTCACGCATGGCGCCCAAAACCTCAAGCGCCCGAGACCAATGACCTGCATTCCCCAGGGCTGCTAGCAGCGCGTTTTGCATCGAAACACTCGGCTCCAGATCTTCCGGCAAAGTCAGAACGGCCAGTGCAGCTTGCCATTGAGAACACTTGGTGCAAAGACTCGCTACTGCACTGAAGCAAGGCAGCTGCTCTTGGCTAAGGCTCGAATGCGACGCAACCCTCCGAAGAAGTTGTACTGCGTGTTGCCAGCAGCTTTCCTTTCCAAGATCTGCGACTGCCGCACAAAGAGCGGCTCCTGTGGGCAAGCTGGACGCTTCGTGAGTCTTGGCCTCCAACTGCTGCCAGATGTTCGCGCAATTCGCAACGTTTGGGATCGAGGCCAGGTGCTGACACCGATGACAGCATCCGGAAGAAAGGCGCTTAATGGCAAAGCGGCAAAGCATGACGAAGCAGCTGGAAGCCGCCAGAGTCTAATCTAATTTTCGGGGACAGAACAACTTGGCAAAAGCCATTGTCCTGCCAGCTGAAGTTGAGCCCAAAGCTGGAAGACGTATCTTCCCTGGCAAGAAGTTTCCCTGCAGCATGCTCAGGCACTGGCAGACCGGCCCAGGCTGAAGACACAGGACTCAAGCAGGGGCAGTATCACAGCTGCATTGATGCACTTGGCTCAGGGTTGCATAAAAAGACTTTCCCAAGGCCTGCCAAGTCAGCTTCTTGCGACCATCACCAGGCTGGAACAAAACAGATCCTTGCTTGTGGAGCCACAGTGCATCTAGACTAGGAGCCAACACAACAGCTCTACGCCTAAAAAAATCTGCAAACATGCGAGACACAAAAAGCTGGATCATGCCAAGGCTCTAATTTCCTGTTTCTCCATCTGGTCCAGCCTTCAAGCAAAAAATTGGCATTCAGGATTGACGCTCTGAAGTTCAAAACATCTTCAAGCCTTCCACACAGAAGCCCAATAACTGACACTCATTGCGATCATAAATCTACCATGATGAGCTAATGAGGGATGGCCATAACAGACACAGATTGGGTGAAGGATTGGCAAAAATGCCACTGCACAGAAACTGTAAAAATCAAGGCCCGCTACACCCGCCGTAGCCAGGGAAAGGATATGCCACAGCAACAGCGGACTAAGCAGAACCAAAGTTTGACACATGGAAAGTCTCTACGAGAAGCTTCCAGATCCGTCTACAAAACCATACAGGCTGAGTCATTCATATCAACCGAAAACAAGCCTGGCACAGTGCGGATTCACCACGCTTACTGGGCTTCCAGCAGGCCCATGACGTGGGTTCGTCTCTCACCTGACCTTGGTTTTTTAAGGTTTGTGCCACAGAGAGCTATTTCCAAGATTCCGGTCTCATGTTTACATCCCAAAGTACAAGGCACCCTCCTGTCTGGAATGTGCGGATGCCACTTTTCGGAAGAGACTTCGATGTTCTCCCAACATGGCATTATGGGGAGTTGCTGGTACGGGTCCACACGTACACTTGCGTTCCGCTGACCATAGGGGTCCCTCCACGCGTTTGCCACGCTTTAGGAAGAGTGGGGCAATGTTTGGCTACATGAAAGGTTGTAACGAACTGTTTCCGCCTACGACTGCCCTGGCTCCTGGGCTGCAGTTGCTCACACGGCGTGCAACTGTGAGAGTTGACTTACCATTCAAAGGACGGCGCCCCAAAACAAGTACTTTCCAGAACCTAGACCATAAATCAACCTTGCAAGTGTCATTGATCCTTACTCTGGTTTTTTGCATGGTCTCCTTCTCTAATTCCCCATACATAAAAGCACTGTTTCTGGTCCTTGAGGAGTAGACAGCTTTTCCTCGCATTCCGTGCGAAGCTTCACCAACAGCTTTGGGTGATGCGTCACAGCCTTGCTGGAATCTGAACATCTCTTGTCTTGAGCGCTGTCACAGATCATAATGATGCAAAAACACGATGGGAAAAGGCATCGCAGATGATAGTCCAGCGAAAACTGTGGCACGCGCCGATTGCACACTTTGTCCGGAAATCGGATGTAGATGGAAGCCCTTGCAACGGACATGGATGTAGGGTCTGTGCGCCTGTTGCAACTGCCATCACAAGCAAAGGTCCTTGGCAGTATAGACCAGAGCCACGTGCTCTGCGTAGACACCTTGCCCTCGTCGTTCAACAACATGAGAGCCTTCCAAAGAGGCATTCCTTCAGCCTCCTCCCGGCCCAAACAGGAAACACGTGAAACCTGCAGATCAGGCTTTCAGCTTGTCCCCTGAGCTCCCGGCGCTCGGAATCCATGCCAAAAATGAGCGGCTTTGTCACTGCCATGCCTGGGACCAGATGCATGTCAAAATGTCAAACGAACAGCTGTGCTGACTGGCTCTGTAGTGTGCGGCTGAGGTCTGCGCTGGCAACTTCGCGCGCACCCCCACCATCAAACACCCGGAGCCTGATGCCCAGCCTTAAACGTGTGCCGGAGTCATATCAGCATGCAGCATGCTCATCAAAACAGGCTCGCAGCACAATGTTCGTGGCTGAACATATCAAGATGCTCCCACATGCTACGCGATAAGTCCCCTGCGGGATGTCTGCCTTTTGGACAGGAATCTTCCAGAACGGTGTGACCTGCATAGCCCAGACATGGATGCCCATGCTGTTGCAAGTGGAAAATCCAGGTGGCGGGGCCGGCATAGAGTTCACAATCTCCTCGAACTCTGCAGGTGGCAGTTCCGCAGATGCCTGGACGAGCTGTGATTGGCTCGCAAGTGAATTCAACTGCTTCAGCCCCTCAGCCTTGTTTTCCTCCTTCTCCCTCTCTTTTCGTGCTTTGGCCTCAGCTTCGGACCTTGCTCTGGCCTGCAAGAAGGGATGCGGCTGAACAGAAAGGTTTACGCTGCACGGTGTCGCAGAAGGGGTAAAGCGGTCCTTTTCCCACTCGGCTTTGGCCTCTGCTTCGCGCTTCTTCTGTGCCTGAACAAACCAATCATGCCATGGCAGGTAGGCTGTGCTTCTGGCCTCCTCTTCTTCTTTCTGCGCCTTTGCTTCTGCTTCCTCTTTTGCTTTGGCCTGAGCACAGAAACGCAGCCCCCGCAATTCCCATGAAAAACTACACGACACAGCAGGAATGGCGTTGATAGCAAACAACTTGCCTTGACAAGACTTGAAATCAACCAGAGGCCGGCAGGCCATTCTCTCATTTTCATAAGAGTTTGGGTACAGGTAGCTGTCCAAGCGCACGGCTGCTGCGGCCAATGCCACGCCGCTCATCATCGGAAGGCTCGCCATCATGGGCACTGGCTGGAAGCCCATCCTGCAGTGCGCCAAAGTCGCGCGCCATGCTTTGTGAAGATCTAGATGCCCAGAAATGCTGTGGGCAACATCAGGCCCTGACATGGGCATCTGCCCCATCAGGGGTGCACCTCAGTGCAGGTATGCTGGAAAAGGTGCTCAATGATGAAGGGCTATGAAACATCTCCCAAGACCATTCTTATTTAACCCCCTGGCCCCATGTGTCGGGACCAAGACCCATCGGAGCTGGCATGGTAGGTGGCCCGGGAAGGGGAGGACGAGCCTGCACCAGAGGCATCAAATCATCCTTGCTTGGGGGCTGTCATGCTTCTGACTTGCATTCAGCTTGCATACTGCTCAGGACCCAATCTAGAAATTGAAGGCCTCTTCATTGGGGGAAGCAACCCCTGCACTTGGCTTGGATCCAGTTGCACATGCTCCAGCCGTCAGAGGCCCCTAGGTTTCTCAAAGACCCATCTCGATTCAGCATCTTTCCACCCCCCTCCCCTATCCTGCCTGGACCTGCACAGGCCTCACAACAAATTCAAACAGAGAGCAGGTAGCGCCAAGGCCGTGAAGAATGTGCCGGTTTGGTTTAGAGAGCTTGTCTGGTGCCAGCTCCTGGGTTCGTTTCTTGAAGCTTTGCTCTGCGATGCCAGTTTTGAGACACCTGCGGCATGCTGAGCGCAGGGAAGGTAAACACTGGAATTGAACCCCACCCTACCAGTAGCCCACCAGATTCCAGGATATGCCTGAAATAACAAACGTCCACGAAGCAACTGAAGTAACCAGGGCATGTGATGAAAGAGCGCAGGCCCCACAAGTCTTCAGGTCTGAGGTTCATGCCCCGCTGGGAGAGCCTTGTGCATCGGCCTGATGGAATGCATACAACGTTGAGGGCATCGTTTTCGTGACATTACACTCACGCAGTGCCCTCCAGCATAACTTCTAGCCTGCATCTGAACACGAACTGCCTGAGGGTCCGGCGCTGGCGGTTGGGGGGCTTGGGGGGCTTGGGGGCTGGCCTTCTTGGGAATGGCAGTCATGGTTGGAGCAGAAGCCTCCCACAGGCAAGGGGAATGCCACACTTGAACCGGGCAACTGTCATCCAACAAACCTTTGACGGAGAAGGAAACCTGCCATGAGATATGCAGCCATGCGTTTACTTTGGGAACGGCAACGGCCAAGACTAGTAGACTAGCATGTGAAACACAGCTGCCTATCTGCTCTTACCTGACTGCAGGACTCCTCCTAAAGGTTATACTTTAGCCTTTAGCCAATCCAATAGTTAATAGGAAACCCAAAAAATTGAGGTCCTACTAGCCAGGCTACGGGTAGCCAAGTGCTCATCCTGAATCGAAACCCGTGGCACTCACACTGTAGGATGTTACATTCTAGCTGTGCAGCAGGCATGGCCACGCTGACACTTGGAACCTTGCTTTATGTCTTTGGGTCTAGCTTGGGTGCAGTCACTCGCTGGAGTAACCGACCGACCTTGGTCGAGGCTGTTTCCGCCAGCTTGGCCTCTGCCTGAGTGGGACGGGCACACTTGGATAGTTTCGGAAATCCTCCTTGTGCCACGATGAAAGTCACCTGCTTGCGGGCCAATCTCAATTTCAACATCAGCTGAGAGCTAACTTGCACAACACGCCCACAGAAAAGATGCCTCATTTCCATCCCGGACCCGACGCACCGACTTTTGAGCCCTGGCACCCGAATTCCTGCGACTCTCAGCTCCAGTGGCCTTCTTTGCCTCATCCTCCTCGGCATCCTCATCTCCGGTCCCGCTCATCTCCACAACCTGCCCATGTCAGGATGTCCCAAATCATGAACTGAAGGGGACTTACATCGTTTTGGGATACACTAGGGCACCCCTCTTTCACCAAGGATACCATGGTGAATACAATTGCAATTTTGATGTGCAGGAATTGGATTCTTAACCTCTTGCACTTTATCGCTTAAAAGGCAATGAGTACATTGGCGCACTCAGATTTGAACAACCTCTACACAAAATTTCTCACCATGGTCAATAGCTGCCTGCTTGAGAATCCCAACCAAGTTTCTGCGAAGATGATATTAAAGTTCAAATCACGTGAATGCTTCACCGAAACCAAAAAGGTGCCTAATCTTCACTTTCACCGAGATCGGTAAGTGCACTCACCCAAGCAACAAAGATTTCCAAAAGCAAGGGCCAGGGTTCAGGGTGGCTCGTAAGGCTTTGGGCTTAAGGTTGGAGTTAAGGATGAGGGTTTAAGTTTATGGTTTGCGGTGCGACGCGTCAAGTTATCAAGAAGAGGACCCTGGGATATAGGAAATATGAAGAGATGATATATAGAGCCCCTCTTCAGGATGATGCTGCGCTAATTTCGAGACACTTCCATTTGCCACTGGCACTTGGAGGCCTTGGGTGTGCCGCCATCACCCTCCGAGGAGAAGACAGCACGCAAGTCTTCCTTAGCTGCTTACACGCTACGAATTTATCCCTACCGATGCTGCGAAAATATCAGGAGCTCTTGACATTATCCATCAGGAATTAGGACCCAGAGCATGTTCAGGTTTTTGGGTCATCTGCTGCCTTTGGTTTTCCTGTACATTCCGTATTATGACACGAGCTCTCTCTTGCTTTTCATGGTTTCCTGCTTTTTCTATGATATGCCTGTGGGCCATTTCAAGGAGACCAGCACGAAGATCCTCGTAATTATCGTCATATTTGGGCCCTCCGCAAGAACAAAAGCATCATGAAAAAAATACACTTCCTCGTGGAAAAATCACAGCTTCCAAGCTTGTTGATAGTGTCGCTGTGCTTTCGTTCAGCTGCTTCTCGTCAACCCGTGCAAGTGGCAACATACCCACAAGCAATGATAGGGGCAGCGCCACGCCAAAGACACAATTCAAAATTCAGGTAAATGCAACCCTAGTGGAGCCGCTTAGGACTTTGCTGCCTGTGGCCCTGTCGCCATTCGTGCGGACAGCGCGTCCCACCTCAGGCTGTACCCGAAGTCAGTCTAGAGGCGCTGCCGCAACAACTCCAAGTTATATCCAAAGTCTATATAGTCTATACTCAAGAATAAGCGCCCTCTACTTGTACAAAAAAAATGTGGCCCTCACTGTGCCGCATCAGGGCGGACTTTTTTCAGGACCTGCACATGAAGAAGACGAAGACTTGGAGCCAAAAATGCACGCGAACAAGCCTCAAGGGACAAATCAAAGAGGGACTTGTCCATGACTTCTGTGAGCAGCCTAGCAGGAGGCTCAGTTGAAGCTGACGACAGGCTCAATCGCGAGAACTGGGCAGCCAGGCCTATCAAGGGTGTCAAGTATCTGCCGCTGGTGGTGGCGGTAGATTTTCCGCGCAGTCTTAGATAACGGGCGAGATGCTACATCATATAAGTGTGTTCCAAAATGAAGATACAAGCCATCCTTCTTTAACAGCAGAACCCGCATCACAAGGACAGGGCACCAGGCAGCTCACATGAGACGTCAAAGTAAGCATCTGGCAACCGCCTCGACTCCTTTGGGCGGTTTCCTGCGGAACAGCCATCTCTACATGATCCTTTATAACCTCTATAATATTCCACTATATACTCCCCCATATAACCCCCCTTTAAGGAGTTTAGACTATAGTAGCTCTACATGGCGCTGCAAGCTTGCTTGACCAGAGGACAGTAAATTCAACACTTCAATCAGGCTTTCAGAGCCCCTCGCCTATTGTTTCTCCAAGGGAAGTGGGTGTGAGAACTTTGATAACTGACTGGATACTAGCTCCCTAAACCCTGCACCATAAACCCTAAACCCTAATCCCTAAACCCTAATCCCTAATCCCTAATCCCTAATCCCTAAGCAAAGTTACAAGGACTGGTACCATGACATGGATTGAGAGGGTTCCGAGGCTGCCACTCACTAAGCTCAGCCGACGGCTGCAGCGATTGCTGCGTCCATCGCCTGGGCAGCCCACCCCCTCAAACAAAAAAGAAATACACCTCTTAACTGAGGGGGCATTGTTATTCTTAAGGGTTGGGGGGTCTCTTGAGGGCAGGGAACTGATTGTGACGAAACTTGTTCAAATAAACAATGATACAAGAAGAAATTGAAAGACACGCAATGGAAATTTGCACAGTGGTCTTCTTGTGCACAGTCAGGACATGATCCAAGGCCACACCCGTCGGTTGAGGATTCAAGGCTTGCTCTTGCTGCTATAAGCCCGGGGCAGGACGCAGCTCTCTAGGAGCTCGGGCGGCAGCTCCTAGCAAGCCATGATGAAATGACCCAACCATCCACACAGATATATGAACAGTTGCATGAGCAGCAGCAGCAGCAGAACTATGATCAGAATCGTTGTTATCATCATCATAATCATCATGATCTTCATCATCATAACCAGCATAATCCCAATTATCATGCTAATCATAGGAAAAGAAGCATTAATACATATTGGTAACACGACTCATATTCAAGCTCAACATCAGCAATGAGCGGAGAAGCGTGACAATGAATTACTGCGATGCAAAACGTACGTGGAAACTGCAGCCTCTGTCATATGGCAAAACGAAGGAGCTATGATAGTAGTTTGCAGAAGCTGTCAATTGACAGCAGCCTTCTATAGAAGAGGTGTGATCGGGACTGCACACTCAACATTGCCTCCAGGTCGGTTTCGTCTGCCTAGGCTTGACAGTGGTCAGCTTGGCCTGTCCAGTGTGTTCATGTGCCTGTGCCGTACAGCTAGCTGCTATAGCAAGAGCTTGTAGCTAAGAAGTTGCCAAAAGTGCGCATCTGCACTGTTGCTGACTGAAACCCGCACCGGATCTGGCTCATCTTTCCAATCCTCTCAAGTTCAAAGCAGAGAAGCTTGGCGAGCGGCAGTTGCTGGATGGAATTGCAAGTCCAAACTATCGAGATCAGGCCTCCGCCACTGGCACTTCAATATCATCCTCCGGTCGCAGAACAAATGGCCGGGGTGCCTGACCAGCTGCACTGCCGAGAGCAAAAGCAAGGTTCCACCAGTACACCATCAAAGTACTCCCGAAGACCTACCATTTCGGTCTCAGGCTTGGCTTTTGATCGATCACGCCTTTGTGGAAGGCACAGTGATACTCCAAATCAAGAAGGAATGCTGGCCATTGCCACAGCATGCCACTCTTCTTCACGCCTGCTACTGCATCCACCTCAGGAATGCCAGGGGGCATTTGCCAATCACTACGAATCAGATCACCGCGCGAGCGCGTTCCGACATCTAGCCTCATGCACTGGAGAGCAGGGAATGAAACACAAATGCACACTTTGCTTCGTCAGTATCAATGAGCTCAGCATCGGTCCTGTACAGTACGGCATCTCACTCTGAATCAATCACTTCGCAGCAGCACTGGTCTGACAGCGTGAGCGAGGCCACCAAGGCATGATGGTCAGCGTTGTGGGTGCTTGAGCTCCCTGAGTGAACTGAATCTATTTCCATTGGTTGACACCTCACCATCTGCATTGACTTCTCCAACTTTTCTCCCCATTACAACACCATAACTCCATCGGGAAATCAGAAAGTACATTTTTCTCATTGTTTGACTTCTCAATGAGCTTCTGACCTGCACCTTCAACTCTGTGCAGCAGTTAATCTCTCACTTGTGTTGCCAGGAACCTACCAAGCGGGCGCAAAACCCCGAGAACTAGCAGACAAGGGCAGCGCCCATCCTGTAAACGCCAGGTCCCTTCCAGCTTCTGCATCTTGCTGGTTCAGACTCGCCAGAAGCTCTCGACTCTTCAGACAACGGGCTTTCTCTTTCTTAAACGCCAATTTGCCCTCTTCAGAACGCCAAACCTCATCGGCAGCTGCGGCAGCGGTGTGCGATACACCACTAAGATCATTGAGCTTCCAGCATGCTTGCCCTTGATGTATTTCCGCAGTTGAGCCACAGCAAGATGCACAACGGCGTAACAGCACAGCTTCAGAGAGGTCAGCAGCCAATCAATAAGCCAAACCAGGTGCACTATGGAGAAACGAATCCATGCAGCGGGTACACCACTAGCATGGGCCGCATCCCAATTGGCAAGTGCGAAAGTGGCACTTGCCAATTGGGATGCAGCCCGTGCTTGTCGTGTACTCGCTGCAGGGATTCGTTTCTCCATAGTTATAGCTGACACAGGGACAGCCAGGAAGGCACCAGCACCACCCATTCAAACCTGGTGGGCTAGGCGATGTGCAAAACTGAAAATGCCGGAAGATGTAGCCATCCAAGTCTGGTTGAAGATGTAATTCCAGGACTCTCACTTACTTGCTCATTTTCCAAAAACACCTGCCAGTAGAAATGCTGTCTCCTCGACACCGACACCGGCTTGATTCATCATGTAGGAATGAATCAAACCATGTTAACATCTTGCTTGCTTCAGACTACCACCCAAGCTTTGCAAAGCGGCCATCCAAATCATAGGACACAAGGTGTTCCATGTATAGAGTTTCATGGATGGCCATGGAGCAAAACACTGTCTCAGCTCATACACGGTTGTGGAAGCTCCATTTTTTCGAGATGGGCTTCGTCTTAAGACTACTACAGTGTAGGGACACTCGGCGCTTTACGCGGGCCGCTCTGATTGTCTGCGCAACTGCCAATCTGGCATCGGTCAACCACGTTTAAAGCGAGCGGGCGTGCTGTTCTCATGAAGGCAGCAGAGAGCCGATAGACCAAGAATTCGCGGCGATCCTCAACCCCTTAACCACTGCTCGCCCTCTAGGATCTCGTCCTCAAACTCAAGCGCATGCAGGGCCAAAACAATCGCCCGCGCCAGTGCTGCCTGACCGCAGCAGAAAGCACGTTGGTCCGGCTAACCGTCTCATGCGAGTTGGGCCAACTGTGTATGTACAGTTGCAGGATCTTGCTTGAGGCAGAAGACGAATTCTCACAGAAAGACTCCTTGCACGAACAAGCAGCAGAAAGCAGCATCTTGTACGTTGACAGAAAGCTTCAAGCTGCACCGTGATTCCATATTAAAGATGCCAGGTGAACTATGCGCTAGGTTAGCTTGCAATTTTTGTCTCGGGCGACACTCTAGAGCGCCCACCTTGAATCCACCGTTTGGTGGTACCACGGGCCCCTGTCACAATTGATGACTTTCTCACTGGGAGGGCTTACAACCCTTTTAGCGTCTGAAGTGATGTTCTCTGGAGTGGGCTTCTCAAAAGTAGTGGCCCCCGCGCGGGAACATTCAGGTTTGGGAATTGATCAAAAAACGCTCACAGCGGCTGGCAGGGCAGAAGGGTAACGAAAATTGAAGCAAACCTCCTGCTGCTGAGGGGAAAAGAGGTTAGGATTCAGGATTCAGGATGAAATTTTAGCGGCTTAGGCTTAGGGTTTAGGACTTCGGGTTGGGGGCTCAGGATTTACGGCTACAAGGCTTCTTCTTGGTGGGCCCAAGTCATAAGACATTGCGCGGGAAAGGGATGAAATTCATGAGACCTCCTTGACCTCTGCGACTGAGAGGAAGGCCAAAAGGAGCCAAGGGCCACTTATCTCTAAGGGGAGTGAAGGGACTTCAGGCTCAGGATGCAAATGTAGCTTCCAGCCCTTCGAACGTGCGTACTGATAGGAGCCAGCTATTGAAAGCAACTGGAAGAAACATGCTTAGGCTACTTTTACCAGGAGGACCCCTGATGAGGGTAGGTTTCAAGAAAAACGATGCCGCATCTTCTGCCAACCTCGACAGTCCCAGAAATAGACGCTTCCACGATAAGGACCGGCCGAAGATACACCAAGCAAGTACACAAGCCTTGTTGATTTTAGGCAGATGTTTCACGCTTCACGGTCAATAAAATCCAGCACAAGTAATTGTTCGAACTGCTTTAGACCCTGGAGCATGCCTGCTAAGTTTATAGGTCCTGAACCTGCCGAAGTGGGGCAAGAATATTCATCGGGCGAATATGCTTGTTTAACTGAAAGTCAGCTGGGAACTGCCGGCAGCAGTGGAACCCCATCTACATGAGAAGGTTTGCTTTGCTAGAGTTGCCCATCCATGCTCGAGGCGGGACTACACTCATTTTGGAGTAGCCTGCTGGAACGAGTTTGCCGCCGGCCTTGGCACAAGTATGCTTGCAGCATTCACAGCTATGCGTGGCTATCTGCACGAATCCAACTTCAGCAGCTCAACTGCCAGATTCGGCCATGATATTGAGGGCCGAGCATCTGTCCAGAGTAAGGCCCTGGGACCTGTGCGAATCCTGCCACATCCGACAGCAAGAGGAACAGATGAAGCTATTTTCCCTCGGCTGGGGTGAAAATATTCATTGCTGAGCCACTTGAGATGTAGCATTTCACATTGGACCGGGCAAAGGACCGCAAAATAGATGATCCCAAAACGCCAAAAACTTCAAGGCTTCAATCCTGGCACCGGTCGCGCGAAGCCTGGGGCTGTCTGCGCAAAGCTCGGCCTTAACAAAGAAAAGGCCATGGATCTCCAACAGTGGCTCATAGCGCAGAACGCCTTGATGCTGCAACCTGCCAGATTACGGAACTCCTGCTCAGGTGTCACGTGGCTAGCTGTCAAATCTAAGAAAGCTGTTTGGCAAAGCTGACACGAACAAACAAATCCGAATCTAACCTAAGTTCTTCGTTGCAGAATCACAAGCTTACCCAGGGCTGCTGCCGGAAGCCCGCAGCACCTTGGACTTGACACAAAACTCACAGTACTTCCCTTGCGATGGAGTCTCCCAGACTCCCAGACTGGATCTGTCATGAAGTTGCCAATCAGAGCTTGGACAGCAAGTTTGCAAGCTACTTCTTGAGCTTGATGGGGCCCTGCCGCTTTTGGAATAGTAAGCTTTCCGTGGCCCCATGTGGGTCAGAATTCTTGTACGCAAGCCTGGAAATTAAACGTGGTGGCTTTCGCTAAGACGTGCACCAGGCCCCGTAGGGAAAGGAACTGGAGCTCCTAACATCGGCTTTTGAGGCAGCAGGCAAGTACAGGACGAGTAGTGACTGCTGCAATTGAATGCCCAGGATGCGTCGATTCTTGCAGGTCCGCAGTTAGAAGATCTAAATAATAAGCCCATCATCCTAACCATAACCCCTAAATGGCCCTTTAGAATTTCCATGTTCGTATGTTTCAAAGGGATCCAGTTTGTTGATCCCCTTGCGGGCTCGGTATGAAGAGTGTCAGGATTTCTGGCAGGGCTTCAAGGAGGCTGATCCACAACCTCGCCTGAAGGAATGACTTCAGAATTCCGTGGCAGGAACAAGGGCCCTGGACTCTATTAGCTCATCATCTCAGCGGCTGGGAATGTTATGAAGAACTTCTCAGACGGGTGCTTGCTGACTTGATTGATGTGGAGGAGAAAAGAGAGATTGCACGGCTACATAGTTATAAATGCTAAGCAGTGCTTGCCACGTTTGTATGCGTAGCATGGCCCTCCTTGGATATTCATGCCGCCGAAAGGCACTCGTGCTTTCTGAACGGCTAGCATGCAGAGGTCAATAGCAGCAGAAGTGAAGTGACTGCAAAGATGCAGAGCATGGCAGGCCTAGCTGTGGTCGAGCCACGGGAAGCCCTGGTTGCGGCCTCAGACCGTAAGGCATCTGTTTCCCTATTGCCTTCCCATCTTTGGTGCGTGTCCTGATCTCATGTAAATCTCAATAGCTCGCGTCTGAGCCTGCAGCAAGGGCGCACCTGCTTCCAGGAGGTATTTAGACAGGTATAGGACAAGTCTGTGAGCATTGCGTCAGTGGACTAAGATCCGCAAGGTCGCCATTTATCTCATCTGCAGTTTTAAGGCGCACTGCCAGGTAGTCTATGTACAGCGCAGACACCCATGCAACCTGACAGAAGGTTGCACCCTTGCTGCAAGGTGAGCCGAAGCTGCGTTCAGTCACTGGAGGCCACTCAGCTGCTGATTGGGGAAGAATCCTCAGGGGGCCCATTGCCGACTCTATGCAAATGCTTTGCCTCCCCTGCCTGAAGAATCTTATCGGCAGCTTCACCAGCTCCTCCATAATGCCCATCCTTGAGAGGATTGAAGAGACACGCAAAGGAACCTTCAAGGGAGTTTCGAGGGAGTTCCACCTGTCATGACGCATATATGACGACGATCAGGGCTCCCAAGAAGAATGCCCACACCTCATCTCTCGAGTACTGATACATCATCGTCTTGAATGGCGGTTTCTTGCAATTTGCACCGAAAGGCTATAAACCTGAAGACTAGCGACGCCGAGGATGTACTTGCCATATCACCAACACTCCTGCACGGGGTCTCTGCAGCTGGAACTTCTGACACAAGCTGCGGGTACTTGAGATACATATCGAAGACTCCTCCAGGCAAGTGGCATCTGGGCCAGTATCTTTCATTACGTACCTGAGATGAGTTGTCAATATTATTTTTGGTGTGGGTGGTCCAGCACGCAGCTATCCAACGCATGCTCTAACTGATCTTTGTCGCGTGTCTTCCACCGGCAACCACAGCAGCATCTGGCTTCTGCATCTCTGGGATGAAGCCTCTGTGCTGGGACCCACAACGGTCATCAACAGTTCACCAGCAGACTACTGCTAAAACCGACGAGCCGCGGCTGCTGCAGCTCAGCATCCATAGGTCCAAAGAAGCTTCTTATGCACGCCGCATTTCTTTCGGAGCTTGAACCAGGATTCAGCTGCAGCGCAGGATCAAAGACGACATGCAAGCAGCTGAGAATCTGAAAATCAAAAGACCAGACAGAGCAGCACGCTGCCCATTTGCCTCAATGGCATGCGGGCGTTCGCATAACGTCGCTGAGTCCGTGAGCATATTAATGTCACGAGGAACCCCATGGCGAGGAATAATGTTAGCAAGATCAAACCGGTTGTGAGCCATGCGGGACACGGCAACCCGGGAGAAAATGTGATCTAGCAGTGCATGTGGCACATGGATGGTGAGTTTCTCATGCTTTGCATGAGGAACACCAATTTCCTTCTGCAGCCTTGTCTATAACACATGACTGCAGTAAGGACCCAGCCACAAATACACTCTAACGTGGGCGTTCAGCCTTGTTCTACGCAAACCGTCTCGCTGCCACTTCGGGCGGCGAAAAAAACGGTTTCATTTCAATGGCTAGGTCTAGAGATCGCCGCAAGACAGCCCGGGGCACCACAAGGTAAAGTTACATGGAGTCTGCTGACAAATGCTGTCATGCAGCGAAAATGCTAAAGAATTGCCAGGCTCAGAAGACACAGGGCACCTTCACAAAGCAAACTGCGGTTCATCTTTGTGCTTCCCACTTGTCACACCAGTGCCCATGTCAGCCATCGGAAACGTGTCAGGACATAAGCTCAATAAAGTGCGGCTGCCTGACTGCATAACTTATCATCGCACCTGCCAGTGTGCTGCTGGAAGCAGTGCTGGCCATAACTCGCACGACTCCAGGGTCATCAGCATCCGCATCTGCCTTAGCTTCCAAGGATCGAAAACATGACCTGGCAGCTGTCCGATACCTGGATGTTACGGAAATGAGGCCCTGGGAGACATCTCAAAACCAAATTGTCACTCTTGAGTCTCCCGTGACTTGGGCAGCCAACCCTTAGGAGCACGCAACAGAACACCCGTCTTTGAAAACTTGGCTAACAACACCATCCCGCCAACACTGGATTGCAACTCGCTATCCCTGCGGGCCCTTCAACATTGCTGTAACTCGCACGTAGCGCCTTGTTGTTCCTGGCAGAAGCATAAATCGAATCTTTGGACTCCGAGTGACAGTGGGTGTTTGAAGCTGCAGGCCGGGAGGTAGCAAAACCTTCCGGGGCCACAGCAGTGTTAACAAAACAGGGAACCTTCAGATCCTGCTTAATTGTTGTGACAAACTCAAACTCCCACATCCATAAACAACAATAGCTGTGCACGCAAACACTACCTGCAGCCTCGTTGAAACAAGCTTGCTTGAAGAAACAGACCAGGAGAGATACCAGCAGAGTCAATAGAAGGAAGCTTAGCAAAGCCACAGCGTCCATGCCTTGTTGACAAAATGCACAATTCCATTCCTGGTCATGCTCTCAACTTTGCTGCGTGCATGAGCCCTAGCACTCAACTCACATCCTCAAAAGGAAGCATCACATGCCCTGACCTGAACCCACTTATATACTGGCCCCACCCTTAAGCTCAGCGCCATCTGAGTCCTGAAGACCAGGCTTGGGCCTACATGTGTTGCTTGTTCTGTTTCCTGAATACAAAGTTCGTGGGCGCAAACATGCGTTTCTGGATTTGTTTTGAAGATGTCTGGCAGATATGGGAACACTAGCCTTGTCTACCATGCCCGCAAGCTGACCATCAAGGAGGGGCGTGAATTCTGCAGTAACATACTGCATTGTGTTTCAACGCATGTCAACCTTCTTTGTAGCCCTGTGTCGTCGCCAAGGCATTCTCCGTGGAGACCTGGACATCCGTGTTCAGCGTGACCGGGGGTTGGAACCTCGATCCAATGGCTGGCTTCGACAACACATGCAGATCAAAGGCTCTTAAAATTAGGCACATCCCAAAGGAGTATTGGGATTACAGGGAAGGCCGGGTTTTCTACAGAGGGCTTGTTTTAGATCTGGTGACCTTGCTTACTGCTGGGATTTGAGGCTTTTTATGCAATGCTGTTCGCAGAAACCCTGCTCAAACATGCACTCAACAAGTAAAGTTAGCCTGCCTACTACACAGATTTCACAAACACAAACTTGCGTAAGTGCAATATGTAGCACCAATATATACCCGATCATTATATAGTAGTCTCCATTTCATTTTCCATTATCCCAGTATAACCTCAATCTAACCCTAATATTACCCAATATTCCCCTAATATAACCCCAAAATTCGCCTATTATCACTCCAATATAACCCCGATATACCCCTAATGTTGCCCCAATGGGTACATAACCCCAATATCTAACCTATTACAATACAGTAATTTCCATTTTCTTTTCCAGTATCCCTATATAACCTCAATCTAACCCTAATATTACCCCAATGGGTAACCCTAAACCCTAAACCCTAACTGCAAGCCTATTACCCCCAATGGGTACCGATATCCTCAAAGGCACCTCTGGTAAGCCACACCTTGCCATCCCAACTCCGTCCACGGGGTGACTCGGATCATTCCGCCCTGTGCGAAGGATGGCTGTTTAGGGAGTTTAGGGTTTAGG